GTGGAAAGTGAAAAAGAGCTAAGAGAGACATCAGCTGAGATCCTATAGGATCTTTGGTGAATGGAAAGTCAAGGCCGAGGCCTGGTACGAACTTAGGGTGTCCTTAGAAGACTAGCTCAGCATCCCCATCTTCTCAGAATCTAACAGAACTGCAGACTGACTGGGCTATATGTTGGAGCCCACCGAGCACGCCTGCACCGGCTCAGGCTTTCCACATGGGTTTCAGCAGAAGACCCAGGTCAGTACTGTGCATGAGCCCTTTAAAGTCTGAGAAGAGTCTCGCCTCTCAGGATGGGCTTGTCCAATGAGAAAGGCTGAATTTCCAAGCGGGAGGTTGGAAATACTGGAGGGTTCTATGACCCTTTGTCTGAGAGCATGGTAATTTGCATATGGAACTGGATTGGATGTTGATATGCAAACTATTAAAGATTCTTAGAACACTAATATGTTGCATAGGTATCCACATATTATATAGGCTACACTCTCAATTAGATCATCCGAAGAAGAATTCATAGAGGCCAAAAATGGTATAGGTGAGTGGGGCGGGGCCGAGAGCCGTGGGAACGGAGCGAGGCCGGTGGAGTAAATGCTAATGCACGACACCTGCACCACTCACCGGTCTCGAGTCCCACGGAGGAGTTCCGGCAGGATAAAAGGAGGAGTGACGACAGTGCAAGACGAGAGAGGACCAGACCTGGATTTTATTTTGTGTTTTGGTTCTGTTTGTGTTTATTTTATTATTAATGTTTTGTTTAAATGTTCGCCGGTTCCCTCCTCCTTCTTCCCGAACTACGTACTGTGTTACAGTGAGTTTACATTAACTAGTGATCTGTCATAAGCATGCATTAAAACAATACACAAGACCATATACAAGGAGGCAGTAATCATACACAAAGACCTGGGGATATGCATGATAGGAAAGTCATAGAAAAATCTGTCTATGAATTAATGAAATTAGTCATTTCCTATAGCAGTATGTGTCTGTTTTAGAGAGAATTGAGTAGGGCGGAAGATTCTCTCTACATACTTTTAGGTAGTAAAATTTATCTGGTCTGGCTGAGGTGTCCTGGTTACCATGTGTAACCAGGGGCCTGGGGTCATTCGCAGACATCCTGGCTCCCAGTATGTTTATTGGGTGAGGGGTCTGTGATTATTTGTTAATCTAATGAATAATTTATTTGTTAAATCTAATGAACAATTGTGTGTCTGATTGGTCCAAATGCTACACAGAAATGGATTGTTTTCCTGCTGGAAATTTCATTTTAAGATGGTCGATGTGTTTTTAAGCATGGTAGCTTGCTGGTCTAAGATGGTAAAGCAGCAATGAACCAGCTAGATGATCAAACCAGATGGTAGCTGATGACCAATGTGGAGGAAATGTAATTATTATTATTAGTTTTATTTGCTTTATTCTATTCAAGAGTGTCATTTTCCTCTTCTGATGATTTATTAACATGCTTGATTTTTTGAGGAGCTGAGATAACAGGAAATCTTTTTGACGTGTGAATGTGCAAAACAAGTGTGAAATGCTATTTGCTTGGCTGGCTTCTTAGACTTTTAATTTGCATTAAATACTTAGGTACACATCTAGGGGACATAGTTAGATGCCTTAAATGGACACATTTGTTGAATACACAGTATGATTGGATGAAATTGAAGCATCCGGATTTGATTAGGGTATAAATGCGGAGTAAACTTATCTCTCTTTGTCACGCTCTGCAGCCAGTCTGTATGACTGTTGACCATTTTCTTGCAAGAAAATAAATCTTCAAGAGACTTTTTGTCTTGTGCCTTTATTAAAATAGAAAATTGCCACAACACCCAGCTAAAAACCAGCAACCTTGTTTCACAGCTGGATTTGAAAGATAATGGTTCTTCCTCTGTCAGTGCTTAGGTCTGCAGGCAGATGTTCCTCTAGCTGTGGTTGAGGAGATCCTCCTGAAAGGTGGTGCGAGTCTGTCGTCTGGTGTGTTATGAGTGGAAGGAGCTGGTGGACAGTGCTGCACACTGGAGAGAGTGCTGTCGAGGAGAGGGATTCCAGCCATGTGAGGCTTCCAGACCCTAGACGACTGGTGTCTGTTTTACTTTATAACTAAGAAAGGGAGTAACTTGCTCAAGAATCCCAGAGCAAATGCACACAAGCACACAGCATGAAAACAGGAAAACACAGGCAGTTACTGGTTTAAGACCGCAGATTTTCACCTCTCCTGCATCCTCTAGCCTCCAGCTCATTGTGAAGTACCTGTTACATAACATGCTCTCAACACTCACTTTATCTGTAGTCTTGTAATGTGGGTGACTAGAGTCACAAATATCCACGTCCCACACCCCCTCCATGAACAACATATCAAGTCACCCAACAGAAATACCAGTTCAGACAAAAATGAAAATTCTGCGACCTTGTTCCAAAACTCTATGACTTTCTTTCTTCTTTGCAAAAGAGACAAATGTATTTTGGCATGAAATGGATACAATGGAAATCAATGGTAACCAAAACTGTTTGGTAATGAACCTGGTTATTTTCATTTATGGGTGAACTATCCCTTTAAGGCCTAACTAGTTATTCTCGCAAAATAGAGCCCTCAAGGTGATACAAACACAAACACATACCCTGCTTTCCTTAATGCATCCTGGATTTTCCTCCGTCGCCCTTCATTGATGGGATAAAAGCAAAAAATCATCAAGCTGATGAGCAGCAGGCAGATTGGCACTGGAGCGAAGAGCACCCGCAGTGCAAATATGACCTCTGGATTGTGTTTACAAGCACCAGGCTTGTATCCTACAAAACTGAAGAGTTAGGGAAGGAGAACATCACATGAAACTTTCACATGAATCAACCACAGAAGCTGTAGGTTTAAGGGGGTCCAAAAAGATGTGGTGCACAGATGTGAAAAATCTGATTGGAGGAAGTTCTTACTGTAATACCAACGTAGAGCCTCCAACAGACATGCCTCCTCCGAATTTGTTGAAGAAAACATAGCAGGAGTAGAACAATGGTTCTAGATCCTGGCATGATGGGTTCTTGACTTTGAAATCATCCACTACATCTGGCAACATTGACCTAAAATAAATAACAACCTGCTTATATACAGTAGTTTGACAAAGTTAATATGGCCATATATATCCATATATGATTATGATAATAAGATATATGATAATAATTGTGTGGAGTATGTGTTGGTGAAGTGAGGAATTTAACAATGAAGAGGAGATATTTTATAAGGGTTACATTACCAAGGGAGTAGAAAGACGGATGCCAGACTCGTGCCAGCTAACATGGACATCATAATGAAGGCGGGTAAATTACTTTTCACTAGGGATATCACAATTAGTGCTGGGATATAAAACTGCAGAAACGAGGAGAAAGATGAATGAAAAAGTGCAAACAAATATAGTTGCAATTGTTATTGTTAATATAGCAATACAATTTCATTTTTGTGCAGCCATTAAACAACCAATAACAAAGAGCTGTGTTTACTGATAGGCCGATGAATATGGTGGTTTTCTTGCCTATTGTGACTAATACTGTTTGCCACACTGGGATGGATATTGTGGCTACTGTCTGTAAAAGAGCAGAAAGAACACCATGAAAAACATACAATGCTACATAAATTAAAAAATGAATAGTTATCTGACTATTGTATAATTTTAGAAGTAATTTGTAAGATAAAGGTAAAACAATTCAAAAACATTTAAATATTATGATTTAATGTAAATGTTATCATTTATTTTGTATGATTTTAATTTGCTTCATGTTGTAACATTTAAATTACAGAAAAAGAAATATTATTTTGTGTATTTGGTGTAATGAAATGTGTTTATGCGGTTTAAGGTACAAAAAAACATTATTTTCCACATACTGTACATTATTGTTTCTCCTCTATGCCCCGCCTTTCTGAAACGCATCGATTTTTACAAAGCTCATCGGATTCTTTACATGTCAGCTCAAAATAGCTCACTGCTGCATTTCATATAATAATAATAATAATAATAATAATAATAACAATAATAATAATAATAATAATAAT